TTTGGCTGGAGAGTGAGCCGAAAGTTGCTAGTGTGGAGGCTGGAGGCGTCCTGTGGAGATAGAGGAGCTGCAGGAGGAGCCTGACAGGCCATCCCACAAGGGTGGGCACAGGGAGCTCAGAGTCCTACCTCCCAGGAGTCCTGAAGCCGCTTACAAGCCACCTCAAACTGTATGTCCTTTGGTGAAAGCCAGGAGACTTGGGCATCCCCAAGGGACATACTCCACTCCAGCAGGAAGTGATCCCCAGAGGGGCTGATGCTGATGTCCGTGGGAGGCGGTGGCTGAACTAAGGGAGGGAAACAGAGCGTTTATAGGGGTTGCATACTGAGGCAGCTGAGGACAGCCTGGCCGTCAGGGTACCACTTTTGCTGAAACCTGCAAAGTGCAGATTTGGCAGTGATTCTGGACATTGAACTCAGTGGGGCCTCCTTTTGTCCTGCTGTGCACTGATGCTTTCTGTCCAGCAGAGGGTGCGGTGAGTCAGCGGGCCCCCTCTCCTGCTACAAATCCTCACAGTTCAAATGCCTACCACTGACTGCTCTTGCCCAGCATAAGCCTAATCCCCCGACCCCCAACAACTTCTTAGACTCCAGCCCCACCCTGCCCCAGACAGAAGCCTTTGTCCCTCTTCTTGTCTAGCTGCAGCTCACTGTAACCCCTGTGTCTGTCTTTTTACACCGGGCTAAGTTTATCTCCTCCCTGTTCCCTGTATCTCATGTTTTCCCTGGATTGTCCAGCCATCTGAATGATGCCTCCTAGAATAGGATATACATGCCTGGTGTATCCAGCATGCCCCACTGTCTCCAGATCTCCCCCTGCAAGTCCCCTTTGCACACGTGGTTTCCTGTCTAAGAAATGCTTCTGTGTCTGTGATCCTCTGAAAGCAAGTACTTGGCTGCAAGGCTCTTTCCTTCCTTCTGGAGCCCGTCCTAATTGCCAGAGCTCTTTGCCTTCCATCCCCTGGATGGAGCAGCTGGCTCTGAACTTTTAAGTCTATACCTCTGAGTCCCCAGGAGGATGGACTCTTTTAGACACAAACAGCAGTCATGTGATCAAAGCCCTTAACCTAACATCGTGGGTGGGCAACGAGGACTCACAGTGTCCCCCTAAGGGTACATACACTAGGGTCTAGACAATACAAACCTAGTTTCTCCATAGGCTGCAGTGCTGGTAATATGTCTGCTTCAGTCCCTAAGAAAACCTCACAGATGACCCTTGATCCCACTTAAGGTCACGATGTAACCACGGGCCTTGTGGGCCTGCTGCACACTCTGGGTTCCAGAAAGGGTGTGGGAGCCTGGCTCTTGGTCAGAAGCATGGGAAGTGCCTGACAATGTGACTCATCATGGTCATCTCTGCTCCATGGTAGTACTCGGGTAACCTCTGTGGGTCTTGGAGACTCAAGGACAGGGCAAGGCGTTGCAGCCCTGGGCCAAGACAACAGAGAACAGGGTTTTCTCCCCTGGAAAGTTGTACAGGAGTCACAGGCACAGCTCCTCCAGGAGGGGAGCTTTGTTGCTTGATAGGTGGCAGAAGCAGCTGGGACAGGGGCAGCCTCAGACAGAGGCCTCCAACCCCAGGTCAGGGTCCTTAAACCTGGCAGACCCTCACTGTAGCTCATCTCCAGTATCCTGCCCACTCCTGCACCCACTGCCTAGCAAGACCCCAGCTCCTCACCGTGCTGGGCCAGGGGAACCGTGAGCTGAATGCCCAGATCACGATCTGGCTGGAAGGAGTAGTAGTCTTCACTTGTGATGGAAAAATCTGTATGCTGGATCTCACATCTTCTGGGCACACAGCGGTGGGATGATGGGCACTCTGTCCATAGGAGGTCTTTACTGAGGTTACAGGACACTAGGTGTTTCCTGTCAGGGAACTTTCGTTAGTTTCTACTAAGTGACTGCTTTTCTCCAAGAGCAGTGTTGTCTGGCAGTGAACAACACACACACAAACACACAAAAAGGAGAAAGAGGGAGAGAGAGATAGAGAGACAGAGACAGAGAGAGAGAGACATAGACACAGACACACAGACGCACAGATACACAGACACACAGACATACAGAGATGAAGACTCACATGCACGCAGAGACACATACACACATCTTATATACATGCAAACAAACACACATACACACACAAACATACACAGAAACAGAGACACACACACATGCACACAGAGACACAAAGACAAACACGTATATAGAGAGACATACACATACACTGACAAAGACACATACATACACATATATACTTACATATACACACACACATATACAAAGACATACACACACAACACAGATTCCCAGACGCACACATACGCACATGTACAAGTACATGTATCTGTCCATGCAGTGTGCATACTGATGGGAACACGCACACGCTAGATCACTAAGGACTATATCGTCATTAGAAAATGTAGAATAAAACAAACAGCCAAGGATGAGGAGCCTAGATGTTTCCATGAGGAATATGGACAGACTCACTGCATGCAGGCATAGACCAGAATCTCTAAGGACTTGTGAGAAAAGCAGGCAAACTCTCAGCAGGCTGGATGCAGCACATGCAAAGTCCCTGGGGCTGCCACCCGGCCTGTAACTGGATGTATAGTCTGGGAGTGTGCACAGTCTAGCGTCTATATAGTTGATGAGCTTGCTCAAGCTACATCACAAAACATCTGACTGAAAACCGGGTGGAGCCTAAGAAGCCCCTTGCTTCAGAGACTTCTAGTTGAGCAGTGCATTATTCTTGGATTTCACAGTGAGCTTTGCTGTGTGCAGCACCTCGGACCAAGGTCATATAAATGGGCTAAGGTCATTCTCGAGGTCAAGTTTATTTGCTCTCCTCCCCTTTTGCGCATCTTCCCCTGCAAGGTTACTATTCCCAAGTAAATAAACTGAAGAGAGACGTCGTACAGTTTACAGATTAGTAATTTCTCTCTAGATGTGGAGCTCCCAGGACAGCCAGCGACCTTCATACAATCGAAGCTCTGCGTCTGAAAACCAGATCACTCTGAACCTTATGATCACTTGGTAGGTGCCTCAAAGCCCATCTGAGACCAAAAGGACCCTCTCCCCAAGCCCCTACTGAATTCCTACATTTGTGATGTCAGCACAGGGTGCTCTTTGGCAACTCAGTCCCTGACATCTTCTTTAGTTTGTATGCTTGTCAGTCTGTCCTTTCCCTGTCTCCAATGACTTTCTCTGAGTACTGGCTTTCCTGCTGTAAGCAAAACAGTCATGGGTCTGGACACAAGGAATGTGTTTGCATTGTGTTTGTTAGTAGCAAGCAGGCAGGGACTGAGACTGCTGAAGTGAGAGACATGTTCTGGTGCATGATCTGAAGAGTTAGGATGATGGAGTAAGAAGATAGCTCCATCATGGTCATCGTAAGTAGATTGAGTGGTGGTGGTGGTGTCCAGCTTGGTCAGACTTGCATCTGAATGGGAGATAAACTTAGAAGTCTTAAGCAAGGAGGAGGAAAGAAGGTAGAAGACATTTAACACCAGGCTTCACAGTCATTTAGTCAAGCTGTGATCGCTTCCCAGTTAATAAAGAGAGATGTCCAGACAGCACAGGCTGGACCATCCCCGCAGCAAGAGCGGAATACGGTTTAGAGCATTTGGAGTCAGAGAAATGGATTACTTAGATACAAAGGAGAGGGGCTTGCGTGGCAGACTGGTTCATCTGTGCTGGAGTCAACCATCCACATCCTGTCCACAGGGTCTCCAAAGACTGCATATAGACAGCCAGCCAGGGCTGCATTTACAGACCCCACGCTCTCCAGTGGACAGAAGAGAAAGGGGAAGCAAATAGAACACAGGGGGAGATGTGTCCGTGGCCAGCAACACCAGTGGGCTCAGTGGCACTCACTTCCCTTGCTGGTGGTAGAGGGTCATGTTAATGATTTCCTGGGCATCCTCCGTGTCAGCCCAGCTGCAGGTGATGCGTTTGGTGTAGTCATTGTAGCACTGCAGAGTTTTCAGGGGGACAGTTCCTGGTGAGGAGAAGCAGAGAGTCAGGAGAGGCATCCTCTTCCCTCAGGTGTCCAGGTGTCCCCTGTCCCTCTCACTCCTGTCCCATAGGAGTGTCGTTTTTAAGACAAGGTCTTTCTACTTAACCCAGGCTGCCTGAAACTTGCTTTGAAGACCTTGCTGGCAGCAAACTCAGAGAGATCCTCCTGCCTCTTGTTTCCTGAGAGCTGGGATTAAAGGCATGCACCACAAAGTTCTGGTCTCTAGCTTCCTGTTGAGGCCCAGGTGATCAGGTAGAGGGCCCTGAGCCTGGTGTGTCTGTGTTGGAGACCCTGTTGAGGACACTCCTTTTCAGTCAGGATCCTGAGATCCCAGTGGATTCTCAGCCGTGGTGTATGTTCTGTGCTGCACATACCCTCATGTAGGGCATTGTTCAGGCCTACCCTGTTCTGTGAGGTGCCACTTAGTAGGACAGACATAGCAGTGCCTGAAAGCACTTGGCATATCGCTTTCCAGGGTCTTGATCTGCTCTGTCATGGCCTCTCTCTAAAGCTGGGCTTGCTAACGTGAAAGTAAGTCCTAGATTGTCATAGAGGAAGTCCATGAAGCTCTGGGGAAAGCCTTCTAGCTTCAGGACACTCCAGAGTAGCCCATACGGCCTCTGAGTAGAGGAGAGGGCTAGAGATATTGTACGGGAAAGATCCTTAGGTTAAAGCTGCTAAGAGCAAGGGTTATAGGACTTGGAAGTCCAAAGAGGAAAAGCAGGTCAGGGGGATGAGCAGAGAAGGCACTGGCTCATTGGAGGTTAGGGTTTTAGGGGATACACTGAGTAATATGGGTGGAGAGGGACACTGTTGAGCTGAATGTTCCAGGGACAGGCAAGGACGAGCAGGAACATGAAGAACAGGGAAGAGAGGGGCCAGGGGAACCCTGAAGGAGAGAAAGAACGTAGGAGAGTCCAGAAAAACCAGACTGGATACAACGGCCAGAGCTACATTGGTTCTGGAAGGTTCTGGGCTTGTTTTGGGTACAGCTCCTTCTAGACCCAACACAGAAAAGAGAGGATGAAAAGGGAAGGGGTCTTCAGAATTACCTTCTGCC